AAGCATTTCGAGAGAGAAAACTCAAAGTGCTAGCAAACGTCAAAAAAACCCAATGGCGGACGAATTGAGCGAACGGTTTTACCTTTAAATATTTGTATCATGCTTGCAACTATCTTGAAAGCTCTTTTCTGTATTTCAAATGAGTAATTGAAAGATGTGCTAATAGTGTTATTATATTTATCGTTTAGCAATAAGTTTTCTAAAAACGAAATGAAAAAAATATTTTTTATAACAGGAAAAACTAAAAATTTGAGAAACTGAAACTAAAAGAAAAAAGATGAATCAAAAAAGTTTCCAAACGTTAAATAAAATAAAAATATGATTTTTTTAAGCAATAACACTTAAAAAAAATTGTATTAAAAAAAATTCGTTGCCGAGGATTGAACTCGGATCTTTTGAATGACACGAAGTGCTCTGCTCACTGGGCCATTGCCACTGTTACAGCAACGTTATCGAAATTGAAATTTATTGAAAATAAACAAAAAAATTCAAAATCATTCGTTAAAAAGCTAAGTAAAGGTTTTTGTTTACTTACCTTTAATGTACATTAAATGCTGTTAATGAATCATTAACTGAATTTTTTCAAATCGTTACTAAGGGACACCTTAAGTAATCATTAAACGACTCTGAGTGCGGCTGTTAGTAGTTTTGTTTACATATCTGTACATAAAATACCTTCCACTTTTTCTACTTCCCAGAAAATATATTATAAAAATCGTTGATGTAAAAAATTGATTCGCTTAAGTAAATATACACACATAAACACAAAATTAAAAANAAGATGTGCTAATAGTGTTATTATATTTATCGTTTAGCAATAAGTTTTCTAAAAACGAAATGAAAAAAATATTTTTTATAACAGGAAAAACTAAAAATTTGAGAAACTGAAACTAAAAGAAAAAAGATGAATCAAAAAAGTTTCCAAACGTTAAATAAAATAAAAATATGATTTTTTTAAGCAATAACACTTAAAAAAAATTGTATTAAAAAAAATTCGTTGCCGAGGATTGAACTCGGATCTTTTGAATGACACGAAGTGCTCTGCTCACTGGGCCATTGCCACTGTTACAGCAACGTTATCGAAATTGAAATTTATTGAAAATAAACAAAAAAATTCAAAATCATTCGTTAAAAAGCTAAGTAAAGGTTTTTGTTTACTTACCTTTAATGTACATTAAATGCTGTTAATGAATCATTAACTGAATTTTTTCAAATCGTTACTAAGGGACACCTTAAGTAATCATTAAACGACTCTGAGTGCGGCTGTTAGTAGTTTTGTTTACATATCTGTACATAAAATACCTTCCACTTTTTCTACTTCCCAGAAAATATATTATAAAAATCGTTGATGTAAAAAATTGATTCGCTTAAGTAAATATACACACATAAACACAAAATTAAAAAATGTACATATGTATACATACAATAAAAGTTGGTTCTTTATTTCCGGGCTGGGACATGTCCCGTCGTGCCGGGCCGGGCCCCACTAAAATTCTTAACGTGCGGGCTCGTGCGTGTCTTTAAAAGTTGATTTCGCACTCGTGCCGGGCCGGGCCCGTGCCCATCTCTAATTGGAAGTACGAGGACGTAGCTTGGGCTTTGCCTTTGCATGCATCGGGACCAAGGGCGAACACTCATTTGTGCTGCAAAGGCTTTCCCTTGCCTTCAGAGCCAACTTTGGCGAGGTGGCTGCAAAAGTTAAGATTCGAAGATAGAATATTGCAATTCGTCATAGATGCAATGGAGGAGAATAACGAAATGGAATTGGCAGATCGCGTATGCATTTTCGCTTTTCACTCACAGACACAGTGAGAAGTCCAACAAAACAAGCTCAAGTAGTTATAGCAAGGGGGCTGAAGTATTCATGGATGCAACCCGTGTTCTATGGATTCGATACTCTAATAACTAAATCGTTATTAGAAAGTATCGTAGTTCAGCTTCATAATGCGGGTTATCCTGTAGTCGGAATCGTATCTGACATGGGATCGGGGAATATGAGGCTCTGGAAAGAACTACAAGTTTCCACAGGTTAATATATAGATAGGTTAATTATAAAAATCATCAAAAATTGTAGTAAGTCTTTTCTTCCTTAAAAAAAAAATGGTTCCCTAATCCAGCTGAAAAAGACGCCAAGATTTTTGTCTTTGCTGATGCCCCCCATTTGATTAAGTTGGTTCGTAACCATTTTTTGGACACTGGTTTTGTTTATCGAAACAATTTTATAACCCCGTAAACGATCTGCCAAATTATGCGCCTAACTGAGAACAACCTTAGTGACAGAACAACACCTGACTGTTCATCATTCCGGACGGCAAAAGGGGAGCCTTGCAACCCAACCATGTGTGATAAGACGCTGCTACCAAATTGGTGGAGGAGCTTCAGAACCCACTCGACACCACGGATTTTATTGATGTCATTAACATTGGTTCTTCTCAAATTGGTTTTTCTCAAATTTTTATATACGAAGTATAGAAATATGTATATCAGAAGAAAGGGGGTTTAATCGCCTCTTTTTTTATAAAAAAAGGTATTTTTTTCTTTAAATATGTTTTTTTTTATTCTTATATACGAAGCATACAAATATGCTTATCAGAAGAAAGGGGGTTTAATCGCCTTTACAACGCTATCAACCTTTTAAATATTGGTATGTAATTTTTTTGTTAATTTTTTTTTTTATAAAAAGGGGTTTTTTTTCCTTCAACAATTTTTATGAACTTGAGGCCGTTTCAAGTGAAAAGTGATTGTGGAAAAGCAACAATAATTTGAAAAAATGGTAGAAGTGATAGCTATTTCGGAAATCACCACATTTCCTCATCAGACTTCTTTCAGTAGGATTCGAACCGACGATCACCACTGACTCAGCCAGTTGCCTACGCACTGTGCTAAGTTTGTCTTGTTAATTTGTAACGAAGCGTTTTATTTGCCCCGCCGGTTCTTCTACGATGCTGGGGTATACTCGCCGTGTCCAGGGTTCGTTACAATAAATTTGTAGTTTCGGGGCTCTGGTAAATCGCACTTTATTAATTTAATTTTCTTAATTTCTATAAAGAACATATAACAAATAACACTTGGCAAAATTTGGTGGCGTCACTTGCAGTGGCTGGGTAACGGCTTCTTGTCCCGTTAGGCGGTAGTGGCGTGGCTTCAGTTCTGGTAAGCAGCGCTCTGCTGACGCCGCTGAGTGGCGCGCTGCAAACGTCGGTAAGCGGTGCTCTGGCCGCGTCGGTATACAGCGCTCCTACAATGTGAGTTGCGCTCTGGTCGTGCCGGTGAGTGGCGCTCAGTTAACGCCGATGAGTATTGCTCTGGTGGCGTTCTTGGACGCGCTGATGAGAGGCGCTCGGTTAACGCCGATGAGTAATGCCCTTGTGAGTGGGGCTCTGCTGGCGACTGTAAGTAGCGCTCTTGTTGGCATGCTTGGCGCTGCGCTGTTGACGGCGACGAGTAGCGCTCTTGCGGACGCGCTTGGCGTTGCGCCGTTGACAGCGACGGGTAGCGCTCTTTCTGGCACCCTTGGCGTGCGCTGTTGACGGCGAACGAGCGGATGTCGTTCGCACGCGGCTTCGCGGTAGACAGGGGCGAGCGGTGATCGGAACCGTTTTTAATGATCACTACTCTGAGTGGTGATGTCTTGTGGTGTGTGTGTACCACTCACAAGCAATCGCTCCATTCAGCGGTAGTTCTCACTACGAAATATGGTTTTCTACCTTTAAAAGGTGATTGTGATCGCTCCCTTCAATTCTAGTCGTTCACTCGCGACCACAGCTCCGTGCTGACTGACTGTTTTCTGGCTGTGCTCTATATTTTATGGGCTACGTGCTTGATGTTGCGTGGTCGTGCAGCCACATGTTGCTGTGTGATGTTTCGTTGTCATGGTCACAAAGATGCTGTCGGGTGTTGCTACGAGTTGTGTTGCTATGAGTTGTGTTGCTTGACTGGCTGTTGTGCGGTGTCGTATTGCTTGTGTGGGCTAAATTTCTTGTTGAACATTTAGTCCTCACAATCCCCACCACTTCGGAGGTTCAATGCTCCTTCATCCTTGGCTGTATGCGCGCTTTCCCTCTATACACGGTGACCGTGTAGTTCTCTATGCGGAACCTCTGGCGTGCCCTGCACGTTCCCTGGTCGATTCTCCCGAAGACGCTGCGGATTCTCTCGGCAATTTCCGGATATTGGTCTAACACCGGTCCGTCGACATCACTAGCCATGACCTCGATCCCTTCTGGAGGCATCTCTGGTTGCTGCTGTTTTGGCTCCGATTGTGGATGTGGTGATCGCGGCGGTTGTGTCGTTGAGGCGACAGTAGCGGAGGACCGGGCTGGTGGTGACGGCGGTCGGATCGGCGTGGCGGTAGTGGCTCTGTCTTGGGGCAGTGGTGGGTGCGGTTGTGACGGCGGCGGTTCCGCGCTTTGGCGTCCATGCGCGTACTGTTGGAACGTGGACAATATCTGCGCCCACTTCAGGGCTGCCATATCGGCCGTGAAAGGCTCTGCGATGCATCCTGGTGCGCCTCTGCCCTGTCCGACAAAGCGCATAACGCTCTCGATGGTCTCCAGTACATATACCCCGCAGTCTCCGTCGTTTTCCTGTTGTGGGACCCTCGGGTAAACTCCTTGAACCTCGAAGCCTACCCCGCCGTGCCTCTGGGTATACTCCCACTGCAGGAACTTCTCCCATATATTTGTTGTGTGGGCGGCTCCTCCCCTCGTCCTAGAGTCCACGGTCCACATATAGCGTTCCCTCCAGCATTCCATGTCAAGGAGGTGGTGGGTGGTCTCCTGGTTCGCCAGTACTAGCAGGTACCAGTGTCCAGCCGTGTTGTGGGGCGCCAGCACCGCCCGCTTACCAAACAGGTCCGTTTTTCGCAGCCAGCGATGGATGCGCCGATAATGTTCCTCCGGGTTGCCTTTCTGCGTTAGTTGCCACACAACGAAAGGGCTGAGTATGGTGGCCCCTGGTCCCAACTCGGCTTCTAACCCTCTCGCCCATGCGTCCATCACCGCATCTGTCAGCCATCGTGTCCCCTCTAACGAACGCAGGTCCACCGGGTATATTGTGATGCTGCCTGGCCCTGGCGGGTATGCTAGTACTGGCCCTTGCTCCTCCCGCGGCGTTGTCTCTTCCCCTGAGGAGAGTTGGATGGCCGGTGATGGTGTTCGCCTCGCGGGTATCTGTTCGTTGGCCGGAGTGGCCGACGGGTCAACTCGCCCCTCGCTCGAGTCGTCCGAGCTGTCACTTGAACTAGTCGCACTTCCGCTTGAGCTACTGCATTCTGTTGAGTTGCTACTCGTGGAACTCTCTTCGGTACTGCCGGCTCGCTCTGCTGCGACTATCAAGGCATTGCGCGTATCGGCCGTTACCCTGCCGAGAATACACTGGGGCGTTGGTACGGTACGCCTGATAGGGTGCGCCCTTGCGGCGGCTTCTGCCCAGGCGGCGGTGCGCCCGGCGACTTGTTGGTGGTAGACGGCTCGTCGAGCTGCCATATGTGCGGCGGTTGTATGCGTGACGGTCGAGTGTGTAGCGGCCGTGAGTGCGCGCGTAGTGCTGACACCGGTATGTACGGCGGATCCTGGCGTGGTGACGTAGGAGGGCGTGCTACTGACGCTGCTGGGTGCAGCGACTGCGGTAGGGGCAGCGGATATCCGCTGTCTAGTTTGCACATTAGTCATGTGCGCTGCGGCGTCGTGGATGGAGGCGACGCGTGTCGTCCCGACTGCGGCGTGGGCGTTGACTGCCCTTATGGCTGCGGCGCGGTGCCCGGTGGTGCTATCCGTAAGCTGCGTGTGTCGCGCGGCGGCGCGTGCCGTCGCGGCGTTTCGTATGCCGGTAGTGGGCTGTGACCCCAGTACCTGGGTGCGAGGACGTTTCGCTTCCTCCTCCTCTATGCGTTCGCGTATGCGTTTGACGCTGTTCGCCCACTTGTTGTTGACTTCCATTTTGATGTTGTTATTTATTTATTTTTTATTTTTTTTTCCTCTGGTAGCTTCCGAAATTCCGATGTTCGCTCTCCGGTGGTTCGCGGTTGAATGGCTGGTTGGAGTAGCTTACGAAATTAAAGTTGGTTAATTAATTCAATTATTTGTGTGGTCGTTCCTTTTTTTTTTGTGTCTCCTTGTGTCTATATGGCCTCGCTGGTATGATACGTTTTTAATTCCGCGATATTGGCCGTCTTTTCCCTTCCTCCATCGGTCTTGCGTAACTGGACGATCACCGGTGATATGTACCTCAGGATTTTGTAGGGGCCGTCATATTTGGGGGCCAATTTCGCTGCGAATCCGTCCGCGGCCTTGGATAGATGGTGTTCCTTGGCGAGAACTAGTTCGCCAACCCTAGGAGTCCATTTTCGCCGTCTGAGGTTGTAGTGGCGGGCCTGATCCGTCGCCGCTCTCTCCATATTTTGCCGGACAATCCTGAATGCCTCCTGCATCCTACTTGACTTCTCCTCGGCAGTAGGGGGAACAGTGCCTGTCCCGATGTTGACCTCGTCAAAGAGTGCTCCAGGTAGTCGTGGCTCACGCCCTTGGACGAGAAAAGCTGGGCTGTACCCCGTAGAGGCGGTGACGCTGGTATTGATGGCTAGCTCGATTTCGGGGAGGAGGTCATCCCATCGCTGGTGTTGCGATCTGGTGAGCTGAGCTATTATTCGCTTGACCGTTCGGTTAGCGCGTTCCGTTGGATTCTCCTGGGGGGTGTATGGCGCGGTAAACTGTTGTCGTATTCCCATCTCTTGGAGGTAGCGTTGCCACAGCGTGCTGGTGAACTGGACGCCGTTGTCCGAGATGAGTATCTTCGGAACGCCAAATCTAGCTAGGATTCGTTCTCTGAATGCACGGCGCAGTCCTTCTGCCGTGGCGCGTCTCATTGGGACTAGCTCCACCCATTTGCTGAAGCGGTCGAAGAATACCAATAGCATGGTGTTGCCATGTGTAGATCGCGGTAGGGGTCCGACGAAGTCTGTGCAGACCGTCGCGAAGGGCTCCGCAGCCACCTGTGAAAGCATTTTTCCCGCGGGTTTCTGTTGTCCTTCCTTGTATTTTTGGCAGGAATCACACTGGCGCACGTAGCGGCTGATGTCACGGAACATACCTGGCCAATAGTATCGGTTGGCGATCCGTGCCACTGTCCGTCGGATGCCCATGTGGCCGGCGCTGGGTACATCGTGGTTCTCCTGTAGTACTCGCTGGCGAAGGGGGGTTGGTACACATAACTTCCAGGGCACTGTTTCCTCATCCTGGCTTCGGCATGGGATATGGCGGTAGAGTTGTCCGTCCTGCACCATATAGTCAGCGTATTTCTCCGGGTTTGCGCGCACTTCGCCCACGCGCTTATGCCACCACTTGCATTGTGGTTCCGTCGTTATCGCTTGCCGAAGGGTCTCCAGTGGTTGCCGTGATAGTGCGTCCGCGACTAGGTTGAGCTTCCCTTTTCGATATTCTATATCGAATGTATGCTGTTGTAGTTCTAGGGCCCACCTCGCTATACGGCCGGAAGGGCTCTCGATAGAGTTCAGCCACTTCAACGACATGTGGTCGGTGATCACCTTGAACCTGTATCCCTCTAGGTAGGGCCTCATCTTCCGGATTCCCCAAACAATGGCAAGACACTCCTTCTCTGTGGGCGAGTAGTTGACCTCCGCTTTGCTCAATTTCCTGCTGGCATAAGATATTACGCGTTCGCCTCCTTCTAATTCTTGTGTCAATACCGCTCCCAAGCCAAAGTTACTAGCGTCCGTCTGTAGGGTGAATTTCTCGTTAAAATCCGGACAGGCGAGTACGGGGGCCTCGGTGAGTTTCCGCTTGAGGGTGTCGAAGGCCTCTTGTTGCTCGACTCCCCACTTCCAATGCTTACCCTTTTTCAGGAGTGCAGTTAGTGGTTGGCTTAACGTGGCGAAATCGGGCACGAAGCGACGGTACCACGATGCTATCCCGAGGTATTGGCGTACTTCCTTCACGTTAGACGGTGGTTTTAATTCTCGGATCGCGGCCACCTTCTCGGGATCGGTGTGGATTCCCTTTTCACTTACCACATGACCCAAGTATCGGAGTTCCTTCTTGAAGAAGTCGCACTTCTCGGGGTTGATGCGGAGATTCGCGCGTTGTAGTCGTGATAGTACTTCCCGTAGGTTTTGTACATGCTCCTCGAAGGTGGAGCCTATGACGATGATGTCGTCTAGGTAGGCGAAAGCGTGGGGTTCCATTTCTGGGCCGATGACCTGGTCGAGTGCTCTTTGAAATGTTGCTGGTGCGGAGTGTAGGCCGAACGGCATGACACGCCATTGAAATAGTCCGCGCCCCGGCACGGTGAAGGCTGTGTACGGGCGACTGTTCGGTTCCAGGGGTATCTGCCAGTAGCCGTTTTTGAGGTCTAGGCTGCTGATGTACTTAGCCCGCCGTAACTTGTCCAGTATCTGTTGTATTCTGGGTAAGGGGTATGCGTCGGGTACTGATCGGGCATTTAGTTGCCGATAATCCACGCACAACCTCCACTTACCATTTTTCTTCCGAGCCAACACGATGGGCGCGCTATGCGGGCTACAGGAGGGTTCGATGCACCCTTTGGAGAGGAGCTCGTCGATCTCTGCGTTGATGATGGCCTGCATCGCTGGGTTGCGCGGAAAGTACCGCTGCTTAATTGGGCGGTCATCGGTCATGATGATCCTGTGCTCCGCCACGTTGGCCACTCCGCTCATGGTTTCAAACTTCTGTAGCTCTTCCGCTAGGAAGTCGCGTATTCGTGTTGCCTCGCCTGTATGGTTACTGTGTGGCATCTCCGCGGAGGTGCGCTTATCGACGCTTCCACTGGGTTCATCATGGTCGACTCTATTGACCTTCTCGCTCCTGGATCTGCCCTTCCTTCGGTGCTTCCTCTTAGCCGTCCTCGGCGGGATGGTATTACTTACTGCGAGTGAGGTGTTATCCTCCGTGGTTTGTGAGGTAGCGGATGGTGCCGGCTGTGTAGTCGGTTCGGTGAGTACAACTTGTTGACCGCCACAGGATACTACAGCTCCCATGCTTCCCAATGTGTCTAGGCCGAGTATGAGGTCGTCTATTGCGCCTGGCATGATGTATAGCACTGCGTGGTGCATCGCTTGTCCGAGACGAACCTCGATCCTCATGGCCTCGAAAATATTGCTACTGGTTCCGTCGGCCATGTGTATCTCGAGGGCTACCGTTATCCTCTCTCCGCTTCCTACGGTTGCCATGTACTCCGCTAAGGTGGTGGATATGAAACTCTTCGAGGCGCCGGTATCGATGACGGCCTCGACTAGCTCCCCACCCAAGTGGACTAGGGCGTACAGTCGACCGTGATCCTGACGCATGGTTATGGGTGTCTCGGCGCTGGGTTCGGTGGGCTCACCGCGCCTTGTCCTTGGTGGAGCCCTCCGCCGTTTCCCTGACGCCGGCGACAGCATTCGATCGTGCGGACATTGGCCCGACCGCACTCCCAACAGAATATCTTCCGTGCGTTGCGGCATCGCCTGGCATAATGTCCTTCCTGCCCACATCTCCTGCATACGTTGTTGGGGTCGAAGCTCTGGTTTCTGGATAGGTCACGACGCTGTGTGTTCGTCGCTGAGCGGTGTGGTGTAACTGGCGGGTGGTGTTGTGTCGTCCGCACCAGTGTGGTGCGATAAGATGATTCATCTGGTTGAGTGGTGGTCCTCACTGGGTTGTCGCCGGTGACATACCTTGCCACCTCCCGGCGTGATGTCTCCGTCGTCCGTCTGTGGCCTTCGTGGATACACTCGTACTCCTCCGCGAGCGTGAGTAGTTCAGATAGAGTGGTGAAATCCCGCCGCCGAATGTATAACAAGTAATCGGGGTGGCTGTTGCGGAAAATTCTTTCCAAACGCTGCTCGCTGCTATACCCGGCATGTCGCATCAGGTTTTGTATCGCGATTACGTACTCCTTATATTTCTCCCGTGGGTGCTGCCTTCTCTGCCGTATATCGTCCTCGAGGCGTTCGAAATACCGAGTTGGCAGGAAGAAGCGTAGGAAGTCGCGCTTGAAGGTTATCCAGCTACTCCAGTGTTCGTTGTTGTTGCGGTACCAGTGAAGAGCGGTGCCGCACAGCAACTCGGGCATGGTTTTTGGCAGGAGGTCCACGTTCAAGGCATACACCTCGGCCAGTTCCTCCAATCGCTCTACAAACACTAGCTGGTCTCGCCCACCGTCATATTTTACTGACCACTTCCTTACCTGGTCGATGATAGGTGCAAACGTGTGGGTCGGTGCTTGGTTTGCAGGGTTGGCTGTACCTGCGTTCGGCCCGACGGTTGTTGTCGGCGGGGGCTGGTGCATTGGTGGCTGGGGCTGGTGTGGTGGCAGCGGGTGCTGGTATGATGGTACCGCCAACTGGCTCTGTGTTGTGTTTTCCATGAACTTAGTCGTACTCTCCCCACGTTCATCCGGTGGCACTGGTGTTTTCTGCTCATCCTCGCCTTCCGAGGCAGCCTCGATTTCTCTGTTGGTGATTCCTATCGCCTGGAATTTGGCATGGATCTCTGGGTCGGTGTGCGCCTTGGCCGCCGGCGCCGTTATGCGCTTGCATATTTCTCGGGCGGTACCCGCGCACTCGATTCCCAATTCCTGTGCGATGGATATATAGGTATATCATCTAGCCATGCTGTGTTGATCACTTCCGCCATTTTGTTCGTATCCAACATATAATAATTTTTCCTTTACACGTGTACGATTTACCAAGGGTCCCTGCTCGGGCGCCAATTGTAACGAAGCGTTTTATGCCCCGCCGCTTCTTCTATAATGCTGGGGTATACTCGTCGTGTCCAGGGTTCGTTACAATAAATTTGTAGTTTCGGGGCTCTGGTAAATCGCAATTTATTAATTTAAATTTTCTTATCTATAAAGAACATATAACAAATAACACTTGGCAAAATTTGGTGGCGTCACTTGCAGTGGCTGGGTAACGGCTTCT